GGGGGGGGGCGCTTCATTGCTGAGTGTTTGCAAAGCTGAATCAGTCGAGTCATACCAGCAAGAGAGGAAAATCTTTTTTTTGGAAACCTCAAGGGTTTTGGGAGCAGGAAGGAAATCTTAGAAGATGTTTCAGCTGTTTATCCAGACAGTTGTACCCCCCCACCCCAAAACATAGGTGGGAAGACCCACTGAAGTAGCCGGTGTGATGTCTATACGATGTAGAGACAGTAACAGAGAATCACATCCGGTGGATGAAAGCAAACGTTTTTTGCAAAGAAATATTTGTGGGCTAGTTCAACATCCTTTACTAAAACATACCTTACTTAAATCTCTTTGATAGATACTCAATACCACACAGACTTAAACACCCCAGGCAGATACACAGTCCTACTGGAGGAGGTAAATATTTCCATTGGGCTTGAGTATCTGCGAAGGCTGTAGCTGGGGAAAAAAAAAGAAGTCGAATCTTTATTCTTGCTAAAATCTTTGTAAATCGTCCGGTCCTTCTCCCCCCTCCCTTTCTCATTTGGCAATAAACGTGTGTTGCTTCGTATCAAGCGGACCTCCAGCCTCGCGCGATCATTTGCAACGCAGGGTCAAAAGAGGAAAAAAAAAAAACTGTCGAGTTTGGAGTTGTGGGGAGGGGAGGACGGTTTTCCCCGTGAGGGGTGTACCTCTGTGATCTTGAGCTGTTTCAGTTCCTGCTCAGCGGTTGTGAGGGGGGCCGGGGCTGAGTCTGACACCAAGTGACTGCGATAACCTTTCAGAGTGACTTCATCCTGCAAGAAGGAGGGGGGAGGGGAAAGGAGGGTTGGGGGGATAAAGAGGGAGATCGAGGAAGCAGGAAGAAAATTAGGACAAAAGCAACATGCAAAAGCCCTCTGTAACTCCCTCCCCACGCCATCATTCACCCCCTCTCTCCCTCACTTGAGCCCCTCCCCCAATCACCCCACTCACCTGCCCTCCCACCCCAACCATACAGCCACAGCGGTGACCTCACTGACCTAAACACCC